CTTCCTCAACTGGCTTTGATGAAAAAGAGAAACTGAGTTTGGTGGCATCCACATACTACTAATACCACACACCAAATCTGGATCATTCCATTCAGTGTTCAACATAGCTACTAGGAATGACATAGACTCTAGACAGGATCAGGCCATTCTCTGAATGGAGAGATGTAGAAAGTGGAATCCCTCAAGGACCGGTACTGAGAAACTTTTTCACAAATGATCTACAGTTTGGAGTGAGCAGTGAGGTGGCCAAGTTTGCTGATGGCACTAAATTGTTCAGGGTAATTGAAACAAAAAAGAGATTGTGTGAAGAGCTCCAAAAGGACCCCTGAGTGAATGGTTGGTAAAATGGCAAATGCAATTCAATGTACTGTTCAAGGGGAGGCAGTTCCAAAGGATGGGTGCCACCACACAAAAGGCTTGATTCTTACATTTTGTAAAATGGACAACCTGATAGTATCTGAAGGAAGCCCATAGCTGTGCTGTACATAAGGAGTGAGATAATCTTTTAGGTATTGGAATGTGGCCATTTGGTCCTCCCTGCTCTTGTTTCTGGAATATAACATGCCTTGTCTTTTTTAAAAAAGCTGGCTGTGTTCAGAGAATTCTATACTTTTCAGAGTTTGGATTTGGATTTGATATCCCGCTTTATCACTACCCGAAGGAGTCTCGAAGCGGCTAACATTCTCCTTTCCCTTCCTCCCCCACAACAAACACGCTGTGAGGTGAGTGAGGCTGAGAGACTTCAGAGAAGTGTGACTGGCCCAAGGTCACCCAGCAGCTGCATGTGGAGGAGCAGGGAATCAAACCCAGTTCACCAGATTACGAGTCTACTGCTGTGAACCACTACACCACGCTGGCTCTCAAGATGTTCCATATGAACCTCACATTACTAGGTTAATTATCAGAGCAACTTGGTTAGCTGGTTTGAAAGCAAACTATTTGAAACTTTGTTATTGTTTAGTCGTGTCCGACTCTTCGTGACCCCATGGACCAGAGCACGCCAGGCAATCAGACAAATATATCTAATCAGTCACAATGTTGCTCATTGCAATCCATTTCTCTGCCTACAGCAGGGGTCAGCAAACTTTTTCAGCAGGGGGCTGATCAACTGTCCCTCAGACCTTGTGGGGGGCCGGACTATATTTTTTTTGGGGGGGAAATGAATGAATTCCTATGCCCCACAAATAACCCAGAGATGCATTTTGAATAAAAGCACACATTCTACTCATGCAAAAACACCAGGCAGGCCCAATGAATAACCCAGATATGCATTTTACCGTATTTTTCGCACCATAGGACGCACTTTTCCCTCCTAAAAAGCAAGGGGAAATGTGTGTGCGTCCTATGGAGCAAATGCAGGCTTTCGCTGAAGCCTGAAGAGTGAGAGGGGTCGGTGCGCACCGACCCCTCTCGCTCTCCAGGCTTCAGGAAGCTATCCGCTAGCTGTGGGAGACCCAGCTCTCCCACGGCTAGCGGAGCGCTGCATTAATCCCGAAGCTTGGGGCATGCGGAGCTCAGCGCGCCCCAAGCTTCTGGGTGCCGGCAAGGTCTCCGCTAGCCCCGGGAGAGCCCCGCGACGTCGCGTGGCTCTCCCAGGGCTAGCGGACCACTGCGCTAATCCCGAAGCTTGGGGCGTGCGGAGCTCAGCGCGACCCAAGCTTCTGGGTGCCGGCAAGGTCTCCGCTAGCCCTGGGAGAGCCCCGCGACGTCTTGTGGCTCTCCCAGGGCTAGCGGACCACTGCGCTAATCCCGAAGCTTGGGGCGTGCGGAGCTCAGCGCGCCCCAAGCTTCTGGGGGCCGGCAAGGTCTCCGCTAGCCCTGGGAGAGCCCCGCGACGTCGCTAGCAGGGACCTTGCCGGCGCCCAGAAGCTTGGGGCGCGCTGAGCTCCGCACGCCCCAAGCTTCGGGATTAGCGCTCCGCTAGCCATGTCTAGGCTGCGGATAGCAGCCTGCTTCCCGGAGCGTCGGGCACCCTGAAAGCAGAGCGCCCGGCGCTTCGGGAACACATCCGCAGCGTGGGGACCCTTGCAGGAGTTCCCCGCAAGGCTCCCCACGCTGCGGATAGCAGCCTGCCGCCCAGCGCGAGGGGCGCCCTGAAGCAGAGCGCCCCTCGCGCCGGGCAGACATCCGCAGCGTGCGGAGCCCTGCAGCAGTTCCCCACAGGGCTCCCCATGCTGCGGATAGCAGCCTGCTTCCCGGAGCGTCGGGCGCCCTGAAAGCAGAGCGCCCGGCGCTTCGGGAACACATCCGCAGCGTGGAGAGCCTTGCAGGAGTTCCCCGCAAGGCTCCCCACGCAGCGGATAGCAGCCTGCCGCCCGGCGGGTGGGGCGCCCTGAAGCAGAGCGCCCCTCGCGCCGGGCATACATCCGCAGCGTGGGGAGCCCTGCAGCAGTTCCCCGTAAGGCTCCCCAAGCTGCGGATAGCAGCCTGCCGCCAGGCGGGTGGGGCGCCCTGAAGCAGAGCGCCCCTCGCTTCAGGCATACATCCGCAGCGTGGGGAGCCCTGCAGCAGTTCCCCGCAAGGCTCCCCAAGCTGCAGATAGCAGCCTGCCGGGCGGCAGGCTCGCGCCAGGCATACATCCGCAGCGTGGGGAGCCCTGCAGCAGTTCCCCGCAAGGCTCCCCAAGCTGCGGATAGCAGCCTGCCGCCAGGCGGGTGGGGCGCCCTGAAGCAGAGCGCCCCTCGCGCCAGGCATACATCCGCAGCGTGGGGAGCCCTGCAGCAGTTCCCCGCAAGGCTCCCCAAGCTGTGGATAGCAGCCTGCCGCCCGGCGGGTGGAGTGACCTGAAGCAGAGCGCCCCGCGTGCTAGGCAGACATCAGCCAGCCCCACAAGCTCGGGGGACAGCAGGGAGGCGCAGAGCCACTATCCCGCTGTTCCTCGACCTGGTTCGGTTTCCCTGACCTGCTTTTGGGGGGGAAATAAAAGGAATTTCCCCCCCTTTATTTCCCCCCCAAAAAACTAGGTGCGTCCTATGGTCCGGTGCGTCCAATCGTGCGAAAAATACGGTAAATAAAAGGACACCTTCTACTCATGTAAAAACATGCTGATTCTCGGACCATCCATGGGCCAGATTTAGAAGGCGATAGGGCCGGATCCAGCCCCCAGGCCTTAGTTTCCCTACCCATGGCCTACAGAGTCCATTCTATACAGATATATATCTTTTGCATGCATAAGTTCCAAGAAGCTATCCTAAGTATTCTGAAATATTTGTTTGCTATGTCAGCATTGTTTCAAAGCATTTCTGAAGCCAATTGTATTGAAGAGTTAAACGTAGACTTGAAACTAGTTAAAGCTATTGTGGAGAGTGTTGTGGTACCAGCTGAAACAAGGTCAGTTTGACATATTCCCCAGACACTTGAGCCGTCTGTTTCCAGCAGCTGTTGTGTTGTAAGGTAGAGTGGAGCTCTCTCTGAGCTGTCAGTCAAAGTGACCTTTGAAAGGAAACTAAGGATCTACTCTTTATGTAGAGAATAAAGGAGTAGGAACAGACTTTGTTTTCACCAAGAGAAGGTCCATGTTGGTTATCCATCTGCCACTGCATGGAACCAAGATGAAACGAAGAAAAAAAGAAAAGATTTCAGACAATAGATTCGCTTTTGTTCCTTGGAGATTGGGGCAAACTATTTAGAAAATTTGCACACACTCTCAAACACACAGCCCTGATCCTAGGCTGAATATGTGCGGAACATAATTCAGGACCACAAATTTAATTGCTGAATTTTAACAAAATTCTAACCCATCCTCTTTCCCCAGCTTAGGTGCTTGGCAAGTTAGTGGACACCAACAGTATCTCTGCTGCTGGCTCCTTTACTTGAGAAAGCACATGCACACCATTTGAATGGCAATGCCCATTGGAGGGGCAACCCCCCAAAATATTTTATTGGGGGCAGCAGAGGGACCTCAGAAGCACCTAGGAAGTCCATTCAAACAGTTTTTCCTGTGAAAAGCTTTTTCCTGATGTTTATATGGTCAAACTTTCATTTCCCTCTTTCCTACTTTATCACTTTCTTCCAAAGCTGTATTTGAAAATGCCCATTGGCACAATTGTATAGAATTATACAAGAGAACTGTTAATATAAAAGAATAAATGGTTTAATGAAGCCCAATTCAGATTAATACCTGTGGTCTAACCTGATTAGCTTATTACATAAATCTAATGCTTCCAGTCTATTAGAAATGCTGTATGAATATTAATGAGAGTCCTGAGGTCTTTGAACAGAAAGAACAACAATTTCTTTTGCAGTTTTCAAGAATCAGAAAGGTATGATTTGGTTACTTTTGCAAGGGCATTTGTTAACAATATCAATCAACCTGCAAAACTCAGAGGTCATTTTCAAGCTTGCAACTCTACCAAGTAGAAGTGAATCTCAGCATTAATTTGTAACATGCATGTTTACTGGGAGTCGACTCTGGAAAATGGCTGGAGTGCATTCATGTCAAAAATAAAAATAAAAATGCTTACACATGAAAGTGTGTTGCTGATATCAGGCACACACTTAACTCATTCAATGACAAATCCCATAAAAATATTAAGTGCTATTTTTCTAGGTAAGGAGGTGCTGGAACTCACTGTGAACACCCTCCCTTGTTCTCTTATAATGGTAATAGCACCCCCCCGAGAGGTGCCGGAACTGAGTTCCTGCAAGTTCCAGCTGACAAAAAGCCCTGAAAATATCCAGACCTGAGCTCATGATCCCCTTTGAGCCACTTGTGTGTTTGTAGCACAGACATTTGTTTTAACGAGATTTGGCATCTGTACTGGGATCCACAGAAGCCCTGGAGGAAAGCTACAACTCCCAAGAGTATGTGGCATCCTTAGTGTTCCAGGCACCCAAAAGGAGAGGAATCTTCTTTCCTCCTGCAGCAACAACCATCAAGCAAATATATTGTTACACACCACACCAATCTCCACAGAGCAGTACATGAGACTTCAGGGGTTCCTGGTGCTCACTCAGGGTTTGTGTTTTCTTCAGAAAACCAGGCACAACAGAGACTGTAGTGTCTTTAAGATATATGGTTTTATTTACACGTATATACAACGTGAGCCTCAGCACCCCAAAACACACCAGCTTATTCCATAGTAGCAGCATCGGAATCCTTTGCTCTGCTGAGCACATCCAGTGTTCATCATTCTCAGACTAGACCTGTTGAATTGAACGAACATGATTATCATAGGTCCATTGATTTCAGTGGGTGTCTTTTGAGTTGCATACAGTCCCGTGCTTTTGAATGTGCAAATATGAAATGAATACATTGGGAGTCATGTGACCGCTATGCTGACTTTCTACTTGCCGGGAACTCTTGTTCCCCAAGGAAGCATTCAAAAGCGACATATCCCATTTTACCACTTCACTTCGTTCTGATACATATGTTGGCTCAGCTTTATGCTGCCAGATAAACATTTTCAGGTGTAAGAGTGACCCATGCCTCAATTTAAATTCTGGAAGTGCAGTGGTGGGGGACCCTGTGCTTGAGCTATAGGAAGTTTTGGAATCACCGTTTTGAAGAAGGCGTAAAAGTCTTGCATTTCTCACATGACACAAAATGAGCAGTCTTGCGAACACACCCTTTAAAGGCAAAAGCGTCATGGAGCAGAACGGTTCGTGGCACCACTATTTCTTTCAACCATCAAATTATGCAGATTTCCTCCTAGTGAGGTGTTAAATATTAATAAGCTTCCTGTCAGGAGACAGCACTTGAAGGAAATTTATGGTAGTTTGCTTTGCTAAAGGCCCAGGAAAACATACTGTTTTGTGTGTTTTATTGCTGTACCTGTCACTTTCTCGACATAATATTTCAGTGCTTAAGTACTTCTCTTAAGTGTTCCTTTCTAAAGGTTGACACCTTCCAAGGGCTTCTCTTTACATATAAACTGTTGGGAGAGAGGACATTTGAATGTTGAAAAGTTATAATTTTTAAATGACAAAGGGAAAATAAAGGTGCACACAAATTAAGACGATTAAAAAAAATTATAGCTCAGCCTACACCCCCTTATCAATGGCTGCTAATAATCTAATATTCTACAATGCTTGTGGAAACCATATGGCAAGCAGCCATTAGGGAAACCATCCCTGTCAACCCCACTCAGCCCAGGTCAGGGGAAAGTGTATCCTCATGGACCATGTTTTACTGATCCTAACTACTGATAGCTCAGTCGGTAGAGCATGAGGCTTTTAACCTGGGTCGTGGGTTTGAGCCCCACTATGGGCAAAAGATTCCTGCATTGCAGGGGGTTGGTATAGATCGCCCTCATGGTCTCTTCCAACTCAACAGTTCTGTGATTCTATGAAAGCCGCCTATATGTCTAATGAAATCTTTGCTTGAGTCAGAATTCCAGAATTTTGCTCCTGAGATGAGATGAAATGCTAATGGGATTTCTAATGCTAATGGGGTAGCAGACATTCGCATAACATTTTCCAAATGTCACTCCAATCAGTTTCCAGATTAGTCAACGTTATTGTCGTTGAATAAGAACAGCTTTGTGTTTTATGTTTGCTAAAGCTAAGGATTACACTGAAACTTCTTCAGGCCATAAGGCATTTGTTTCATTCACTCCTCCACTCCCTCGCAGCCTGGATTTCATTTCATGCCTGGCATATTTTAAACATTTCCCCATCCGTTGCCCAACAACTGACTTATATTATTGGAGAGCGAGGGGAGGGGAGGCTTTTTCAGCCTGAGGACCACATTCCCCTGTGGGCAGCCTTCCAGACGTGGGTGTGGTGAGAGGCAAACATGGAGGGAACCTTTGTACAAGTGACAGCACCCAGGTGTTCAGATAGACAAGTTTGCACTAAATAGCCTTCAGGATAAGGCTGCCAGTGACTACTACTGATGACTAAATTATACCTCCATGGTCAGAGTTATCCTGATCATGAGGTATAGTAGCCTCTGAATGCCAATGGCTGGCCTGGGGATCAATAGCATGAGAGCACCATTTCCCTTCTGTCTTGTTAGTGGGCTTCCTGGAGGCATCTGGTTGGCTGCTACAGGGTATAGGTTGCCGTGACTACATAAACCTTGTTCTGAACCAGCAGGACATCACTGTGACCAGAGGGCATCCTCTTCAGTCTCACCAGATGCCTAGCCCTAACCTTGCTGAGGCCTTGACTTGTTTCCCACCTCGTTGAGGCTTTGATGTGTGGTGAAGAAAGGGTGCAACAAGAGAGAGATCCAGTGCCTTCTCCTTCACAAATTGTCTATTTATGTGCACTTCTAGTCTGCCTGCACAGTCTGCCTCTGTGCGCGCAACTGCTGCTACTTACATGCTCATGATCCACAGATGCTATGATTAAATTGAGGCCACATGGATCAAAGTCCTGAAGCAGAATTCCTAATAAAATTGGAAGATGGGATAAGACGACTGTGGTGGGAAAATGTTCACCCTCTTTTGCCTGGGAGAACCATATTCATGACCATGCCCTCTGCGCTGTTGGTTTCAAGAGTGGATTGAATTTTCCTTATAATTTATGAATGGGTGGCCACAGAATTGCTTAGCTTTGGCATTTGTTCTAAATGGATAATAGCTTCTTTTTACCATTGATCCAGTGAGGATAGATCTGTTTGCCACGGGACATTTGTTGTTCACAGTGTCCTTTCCCTTTGCTTTGAAGGTTAGTATGCGCCATACACGATAGAAATATGAAACTTCTGTATTTGATGGGCAAAAAGAAAGAAAGGCTAATAAGGAGAAATGTTCCTAAATCAGAGTGAGGTAAAAGTGGATCTCCAAAATATTTATAATAAATGAATTATTGCATTTATAACCCACCTTTCCTCTCAGGAGCTCAGTGTGACATACATGGTTCTCCTCCTCATTTTTCCCCTCACAACAGTGCCAGCAGTGACTGGCCCAAGATCTCCCAGTGAACTTCATGGCGGAGTGGGTGTGCTGTAGAATGGACATACAAAGTAAATAGCCTGAAGTAATTTAGTTCCTAAGGGAAATTGTGTGCTTTTAATGCTTAAAAGGAGGTAGTGAGGAAAACCTTTCTTCTTCTAAGTACCACTGGATCTTCTGAGGCACACTGATCACCACTGAGGAAAATGAAGCTACAGTGCTCACTGCAGTAATAAAGTAGATATAAAAGAAAATTGTATATTAGATAGCCAAGTCATGCACAGACTATTAGTTTTGTGGGAAATCACTAATGTCTTCAGTGGATATTTGTTTCTAGGACCCTAGACTATGTCACTGGGTAAATCTGCACATTTTTGTATAGAGTGGTACCTTGGTTTAAGAACAGCTTAGTTTACGAACAACTTGGATTAAGAACGCTGCAAACCCAGAAGTAGGTGTTTTGATTTGTGAACGTTGCCTTGGAAGCAGAACATATTCCGCTTCCTGTTGAGTGTGTTCCATTTGTAAATTGAGTACCCCACTGCTATGAGAAAGCACACCTTGGTTTAAGAATGCTTTGGTTTAAGAACGGACTTCCAGAATGGATTAAGTTCGTAAACCAAGGTACCACAGGGAAAAGCAGTATATTTGGAAGAAGAAGAAGAAGAAGAAGAAGAAGAAGAAGAAGAAGAAGAAGCAGCAGCAGCAGCAGCAGCAGCAGCAATGTAAAAACAGGGCATATTCTTAGTTCTTAGGGTCCTAGTTTAATTGAGTTTACCCAGACTAGAAAGAACTTGCTGGCTTCAGCTGTTGTACGGTTCACTGTAGTATCTGACTCTGGTGGTCTCCCTGCCTGCACAATCCTCTCTTGTGGACTTCAGGCAATACAAGATCAGCCTTCAGTGTCATTTCCATTTCAATGGATGATTATTTTGTTCTTCCCAAGGCTGAAACAGAGTGTAGGTGGCATTTATAATATACTTTCTGGATGCTACATTTGTTTCCCTAGAGACAGAGCTCAAAAACAGAAACCAAAAAAGGGGTAAAGTTCTTCAAGAGCATTTGCTACTCTCTTTTCATCAAGATACTGCACAGGCAGTACATTAAAATGCTCTAATAATGCCGCATTTCCCCATACAAAACAACAAGGCCTTCTTTATAAAGATGTACTTGAGAAGGGGTTGCAGTGTGTGGGCGGCAAAGAGCAGCCTGCAATTGTTCTGCTGCGATGGCACCTTGAAAAGGAACTGCCCAAATGGTAGCGTAACCATAATTGTTTCTTCCTTCTCAAATAACTTTCGGATAAAATTGGTTCAATTTAAAGATAAAGGAAAAGCTCCACAACAATACAAACTCTACTGCAGAAGCAGAAAATAGAAAGAAAATTGTGTCACACAAACAACAGGGTCGTTTGGTCCGTTATATTTAACATTAATAATCTGGCAGATAAGGGGCTTCCCCTTCATGCGAAGACAGGCTCAGGTGGATTGAGCGGACAAGACCAGCAGTGGGTCCAAAGGTCAATAAGGTGGTTTCTGAATGTCCTGAAGAGGAACGTGAGTGGCAGGTGGGAACCTGGAAAGGTAGCCCATCTAGGAGAAGGAAAATTCTGCTGCATTGCAGGATATCTTCGGGAGAAGAAAAGGCTAAGGAGTAAACCCCACACAAATTTGGAGTGGAGTCCCTAAGGCAGTTGGATGGCATCTTGTATGCCTCCTTCTGGCAACTCCTGCAGCCAAGCTGATGCCAATCATATCACCCAACAAATAAAATGGTTTAAATGTTGTTTGACTCCAATCAGCCCCAACCAGCATGGTGATGGGACTTCTATCCCAACACCTGAAAGGCCTCAGCTTTCCCCCACACTTACTCTTTGGGAAAGGAAATTCCATAGCTACAAAATAAATGGGTATTAAAGCCACAACCAGTGAAATAATTTGCTAGTGGGAAGTGGTGGCAAGCTGAAAGGAAAGAAGAATTACCGCCCTGATCTGTTCCTATTAGGAGGCAGTGATGGATGCCTGGTTTGTCTCAGTACCAAGCAAGCATGGAATTGCTGACTTACCAGCTTCCTCTTGCACAGGCTTCTACTGGTGGTGGAGATGATTGTCAGGGATAGACAGATCAGGTCCATGCCACTATCACATGAGTTCATAAATACATATTTCAATACTTATATCTCAACCTATTTTCTCCCCAAAGACCTATTTCTTAATGTACTGTGTTTCTGTTGCTGGTGGAAACTAAGTTCTGATCTGCACATTAGTCTGAGAGGTGCAGATCAGATCAGATCAAAAATTCACAAATTTTCTTTCCCCAAGCAGTCCAACTACATGAGGATTGCAGGGAGCAGGAAATATCAGGTCTGTGTAGTGAAGTATCTGAATTTCAGCTTGGAACGTCTTCTTGTCAGTGGACCATTTCAGGCTACGGACTCTTTCCTTTGGCTGGCTATTGGACCTTCCTAGGAAAGGCTATAGAGACTCCATGTCTGAAATGACACCTTGTCGGAGTAGTTGTGCAGCCTTGGCCTAGCTTTCAGATTGCTGTTGGGATCCAAGGATCAGAAGGGCAATAGAGATAGTCATAGATGGACTGGAGGTGAGGCAACGAATCAAGCAGATGAGGGTTAAAGGATCAGAGGCAATTGGAATGCCAGAACCCAGCAGGAATTACAAGGCAGAAATTGAGGACAGAAGGAGATGCAAATCCACAACACATTTGCAAGATGGAGAAAGAAATCATTGGATGGTGGAACGGACTCCTTCAGGTGGTGACTCTTCTACATTGGAGGTTTTAAAACAGATTGGATGGCCATCTGTCAAGATTCTTTAACTGTGATTCCTGCATTGCAGGGGATTGGGCTTGATGAGCCTTGAAGTCCCTTGTAACTACAATTCTATGCTCCTAACTTTTGTGGGCACCACACACACTCGGCAACCAAGCATACCCTGCTACAATGGGATGTATCTGTCAAGCCTAATTTTGGGCGATAGACGTGGACACTCAGGATACTAGAGAAGACCTCTGTGGGGCACATGTGTGCCTGCAGGCACCATATTAATAACCCCTGTTACAGTAGGTTCTTGTTCTATTAAGTGTCCTTAAAAAAAGTTTATCTAATTCATTGCAAAGTCATTTCTGAGTCAGAAAAGGGAATGAGTCATACTGTTCAATTGCATCAGCTACATGGTTCTTTGAGTATGCACAGTTACTTTGGTGAAAGATTAAGGTCACTGCATATGGTTGCCAACAGCTCCAAAGTGATTTTAAGACCAAACAACCAGAAAGTACCCGCTGCATACTTATCTGATGCATTTGTTCTTTGTATTTTTGCCTTCAACTTTTAAGCTAAGAGAAAGAGCTGGGTTCTTTGACCAGTAGTTTTGTTCATCAACCTGAATGCTGATATGAATATTGGGCACACTTTTTTTCTTTAACGAAACACTGGAGATGTGATTGCAAAGGCGGCATAGTTACTCACTGGCATTTTGAATGGGCAAAAGGGTGTGTGTCAAAAGTCCAAATACCAGATGCCCTTCATGTGTTAATATGTCATGTTTATTTGTTCAAAACAAAGTTGACCACAAAAATGACACGTGTCCAGGAACTTCGGGGTAGACAAGAACCAGGGAATCAAAAATGAACAATGACAACAGAAGTAATGTTCAGATTAAACTAAAAAGGCAAAAAGTTATAAATATATTTAATGCTCTCCATTCCTCCCAGTTTATTTCCTGGCAGTCGCTGTCTTTTGCTGAGGCCCAATCAAAGCATGGGTGCTTGCTCTCCTGTTTCCACCTCCATGACCTCTTGGAATATTGATTAACAATCATGTATAACCATTTATTTTTTGACCAGCCACCACAAAATTGTACCTGCTGCTGCTCAGGAATTCTAAGAAATGAAAAAACCATTGCAGTTTTCAAAGGCTCAGTCCACCATCTTGATTCAAAATGGTGTCCAGTTGTATCCAAACACAGACAAAAACCTGCTCCTTGATTTGGTTACCATATCTTTAAAAGTGTCCAAATGCATAGCGAACAGTCAAAATATATAGTAGATGCTGATTTGATATTGTTCTGCAAATGTCAGTGAAAAGGAGCACGTAGTTCTCTGAGTTCTAAACAAATGCTCAAAGGTTGTGGTACATGAATACGGCAATCAGAGGGAATGATCAAACAGTGTATGATTTACCAGCATGGAGTGCATATCAGCAGCTTGCCAGTGAGCCATCTGCAATCATGCAAAAGGTGTGAGAAGAGGAAGGGGAGGGATACTGATGTCACAAAAGCAGTAAGGATGGTGTGTATATTGGCAGATTTGCTGCAGTTTTCTCTTCTAAACTTTCTATGATGAAAATTCATTGGGGTGGGATTTCTTGAAGATAGACTAACACCAGCCTACTATCTTACCCCCCCCCCCATGTAGAACCACCAAGATGTGTGAGGTGGAATTCACTGAGTCCCTTCTCCAACCTGGTTACTTTCAGATTTTGGGTTACAGCTTCCATCAGTCTCAAACAGTACAGCCCATGGCCAGGGATGAAGGGTCTTGCAGTCCAAAACATCTGAAGGTCATCAGCAGGGGAAGTCTTCCCTGAGGGATATGTTGTGAGGCCCTCCCCTTCCAGTACTGAAAGGAAGGTATAGGAAGGCACCTTCCCTCTGTCTATTGCTATGCCATCACCACTGGAAGTCTTATCAGTTGAATGAACTCACTGGCCAGCATTGTAACTGCAACTACAAGCACAGTAAGGAGCTGTCAAGTTTATACATCCATATTAAACATCATAGCAAAGGGTGGAAATGGAATCATATGGAATCACACTAGTCACAGTGAGCCTCTCCTTGCAGACATTTCAAGCAGGTTCTAA